CCAAACCAGAAGCAGATTTCTGGCTCCTTTTGGACTCATTCTATTTTCCATTTGTTGGCGTTTTGGGCAGCCCATGGGGCCCTTAGAAAGCCACAAGTGGAAAGTTGTGCCTCGCAACCTGCAGAAGATGCCTATCCCCTCCCAAAGGATGACCAAAATGATCAGTAGGCTAGGACACCATTCCTGCACAGAGTGGCCAATGCTTTAGGAATTTTTCTTTCTTTCCTTTGCTTGAGTGGGGTAAACCTGATGGAGAGTTTAACCTGGTAAAAATAGATTAAATGATGCCCTGAGAGAGGTTGAAGCCTAAAAGTGGTAGAGGTGATACAGAAACACTGATCTCCTTGACATGAATGCCAGAGCTAAATGTGCTGCATCCAAGAGTACTAAAAAAACACACCGATATAATCTCAGAGCTTCTTTCTATAATCTCTGAGGCTTCTTGGAGAACAGGTGAAGTCCCTGCAGAGTAGAGTCAGGCAAATGTTGCTTCCGTCTTCCGGCAGGAGAAAACAAAGACCCAGGCAACTACCGCTTGACACCAGGAAAGGTTCTAGAACAGATCATTAAAACAGTTGGTCGGTGAGCACTTAGGAAAGAAAGCTGTGATTATTAAGAGCCAGCATGGGTTGCTCAAAAACAAGTCCTGCCAGACTAATCTTACCTCTTTGCACATTTACTCACTAGGAAGAATGAGACAAGACACAAGAGCTGAGTAAACTATGGCCACTGTTGACTCACTGTTTACAATCATCTGCAGTGGGGCTTCAGGAAAACAGGCTTCTACTAAGGCTGCCCCATAGGGTGCATCTACACTGTGGAAATAATGCAGTTTGACGCCACTTTAAGTGCTGTAGCTCCATCCTATGGAATCCTGGGATTGGTAGCTTTACAAGGTCTTGAGCCTTCCTTGCCAAAGAGGGCTGGTGTCTCAGAAAACAACAAATCCCAGGATTCTGTAGGATGGAGCCTATTGTGTTGTTACTTTCCGCTTTCCCTATTCCATTGGAACAGCAACTGGCAGCCCCACTCTGCAGCTGTCTGGGCATGCAGCACACTCATGGGGCTCAAAGAGATAAGAGTTAGAAACATGGTCGATCTAGGGAATGCTGCGGACATAGGATGAGTGACATGTGGCAGAGATGGGCAGCTATAAAACTTGTAGGAGCACTGCCGTGGATCTCCCCTCCTTCCATTTTATTTGATTTCAAGTTTTCCCTGTTTTTGATCCAACTGCAAGCATTCACATAACATGGAAATGACATCAACCTCAACCATCACCTCATCCAAGAGGTAGGTTTATCAAAGCTGTCAGAAACACTTGATGTTCTATTCCTTGTCACATAGAGGGATTCTAGAAGATCCTGATCTACCTTTTCTCCCCATCCCTGACCTATGAAAACTATGATATCACCCTGAACATACACAAGATCATGGATCTTTGGGAGATAAGCAGGGTTGGGTCTGGTTAATACGTGGATGGAAGACCACCAGGGAATGTCACAGATCTCTAGGAGTTTCAGTACAGCAAGCCTACTCATGTAGTGAGATCCAAGTGGAACCATATTGATCCAGTCACCTGCTAACCAGCTGCAGCCAAGATGGAACATGCTGGTGAGCAGCTCATTCTTCTTCCCATTTGTTTTTCTCCCTATTGTCTTCATTTGGAGGAAATGGATATGTCCGATAGTCTATCAAAAGGAATTTGGAACTGACAGATCCATTGTCTCCTCCAACACTTGGAGAAGTTGCTTTTTTGAACTAGAACTCGCAGGGTTCCCCAGGCATTAGAAACTCTTCCAAGGTCTTGCTTTTTCATCGGCACATCCACAGAAAGTCCACCCCCAAAGAATCAATGAGTTGCACTTGGATCAAAAACAGAGGGGAGACCATGGAATCAAATACAACAGAATGGGGGGAGGTCTACGGCATTGACCCCCAGATGTTTTACAGCTGCCCATCTCTGCTGTAGGCCTGTTACAAGGAAAGGCCTGCCATGCAGCCAACCCATTCAGATGCAATATTCCTTGAGCCATTGCAGGGTGCAACAAACAAGGGTAGGAAAAGCCCTGCTTGTGGGCTTCCCATAGGCATCTGGAAGCCAAAAGCCTGAATAGATAGAGCCTTGGGGCAGACTCAGAATGGCTCCTGTTATGCTAATGATAATCCTGGCCTTTCTGTAAATGTTTACATCACCCTCAACATGTCAATATTACCTGCAAGGTGGGCCTCTCTCTCTCTCTCTCTTCCTTTCTCTCTCAACCACTCCTCCACCACCCCCTTCCTCTTGATAAACTACAAATTACAATTTTTTATATTATATATGGGGGAACAGAAACCAAAAATTACCTGCCAGCTCTCCATTTTGCTATGATAGCCTGGAATACTGATCACAAATATTCTGCTTGGTGAAAGACAAAGATCAACACTCTCCTAGGCTTCCAATCCAGGCCACCCACAAGAAGAGAAGTGGAAGGATGTTTTCACAAAGGGGGAACCTCCTGTGAGGTCTTGGAGCAGGGATGCCGATCTTGATCTTGCAGATCTTCAGTCAGATCTTGACCAACAGACACATACTGCTGAAAGGTGGAATTGTACCAAAATAAATTGCTATCAAAATTCTCCACCATATTTAAGAAGGGAAGGTATGTTTTATTGGGACACAGAGTTCCAGAGGGAATCAGACTCAGGCTGCAATCCCCCTTACTATGAGGTTGGGAAATGAGATTAAACTGTAGAACACGGGGATATTCCGAGAACATTTGGAGAAATATCTTTCTTTCTATCTACAGCCAGGATCATGTTGGATGTCCAGAAAGAATTCAGTCTTCATCCATCCATGGGGAGAGGTGGGTAAGAAATAAAAAGATATATCAGTGAACACCAAAGTCTGAGTCTTCCATGCCATAGTACTTTTGATTTCTACCTATGGTTGGGAAATCTGAAGAAAGGTAATGGGAAGAAAATCTAATACTTGAAATGTGCTGGAGAATAATTCTACAGAAACCGTAGACTGCTGAAAAGACCAGTGAATGAGTCAAAGATAATAATAATAATAATAATAATTTGACTCTTTCACTCATTCGCTGGTCTTTTCAGCAGTCTATGGTACCTGGTGAACTCTTCTCCAAGTTCAAGTATTAGATTTTCTTCCCATCAGTTTTCTTCACTCTCCAGCTTTCACAGCCATAGATAGAAATCAAAAGTACTATGACATGGAAGACTCAGACTTTGGCGTTCATCAACATATCTTTACACTTGAGGATCTTCTTCTCGGTCCTTGCAAGTTGCAAGTTATTCCACCTGTGAGGAGTGTCATAGCTTCCTGCATTGCAGAATAGCATTGGACTGGATGGTCCCTTGGGGTCTCTTCCAACTCTAGGATTCTCTGTTTCTTCTACATAACCATGCAAGGCACAGGAGGCCACTCCAGTGGTCGATCTGGAAACTCCAGCAAAGGCATTAGACAGGAGGGAGCGATGGCCTCCTGAGCATCATGGAGCACCATCATCATTGCAAGATGCTGTGTGATTTCCTCACTTGTGATGGCCTCCCGAGCATCATCATCATTGGAAGATGCTGTGTGACTTCCTCACTTCAGATGGCCTCCTGAGCATCATGGAGCATCATCATCACTCCAAGATGCTGTGTGACTTCCTCACTTCCTAGCCAGTGCATACCTGTGCTGGATTCTCTCTCTCTCAATCTGGTCACACCACAGTGAGCAAAAAGAGAGAAATGCACATACACACACAGGCATGCATCTCTTCCCCACATTGCACACTCCTTTGGGGATATCAAGGGCAAGCCAGAGAAGGGTTACCTGGAGAAAAAGGTTGCTAGGCAACCAAACACCCACCGCCCCCAAGCAAGCACCAGAAAGCCCAAACTCGTTCCAGGCCTACAACCAGATTAGCATATTAATGAGGTTGTAATTTCCCCAGAATTGTCTGCCTGTACACGTTTTTTTGCTCTGGCTCCACGCTGGCCCTGGAGTTTGCTAGGCAAATAAACTGGATTTTTTACAGACAGTGGCTTAATTAACTCATCAAGTTCATCTTCCTAACCATAACCCAAAAAGGGGGAAAGGAAAAAAGGGAAAGTGAGCCTAGCTCCAGTTTTATGGACCTGGGTTTGGAGATGGTTGCATTTGGGGACTGTCCCTTTGCACCCTGGAAGGCCTTGAATTGCAACCTCTTCTCTCTCTCGCTCCATCTCTTGTTCTTGCTGCCTTTTCCTGGACATTGCACAGCCAGATGGAAATTTTTATTGAAAAAAATGGAATATTTCACTGTATGGGAGATGTCTGATGGCGTCAGTGAAATCAGACAGGATTTGATTTGTGAGATTGGGATTGAAAAAGTGCGAGATTCTACTCAAGAGGCAGTATGGTGTAGCAGTTGGACCAGGACTTGAGAGATTCAGAGTTTCCATAGATGCATGAAATGCATCAAGTGACCTCGGGACAATCGCACTTTCTCAGCCTGGCCTACCTTACAGAGTTGTTGTTCGAAGAAAGCCAAGCTGAGGAGGACTATGCATGCTCCTTGGAGTTCCTTCGAGGAAATGAAAGTGACAAATAAGGGGATAAAATGGACACTTTGCTTTTCTGCATCACATCGTTCTCTCATCCTTGCTCAAAATTAGAGAAATGTGCAGCCCTCAGATTAATTTTGAAAACCCTTTGCAACCGGACATTTTGGGAAGAGGATGAGAGTGTTTCCCTCCACCACCACCCCAAAAAAAGTAAGAAATCTGCTCCCCCACTGAAAATGTCCTTCATTCTCCAAATGTCCAGCATTGCAATAATTTTAAACATATCAGTCAAGCCTTTAGAAATACAGTTTAGGGTTCCAAAGAAAAGAGGTAAGCAAAATGACCCAGGGAATGTGGACACAGCAAGAACTGAAGGAAAGTTTCACTTTGGGAGCAAAAAAAAAATGTATTTGGTATTGGTAGTTGAGATCATGGCCTTTGTTGTCATAGACTGTTTTTTGGGAGCCAGCTTGGTGCAGTGCTTTGAGCATTGGACTACGACTCTGGAGACCAGGGTTCGAATCCCAGCTCAGTCATGTAAACCCACCGGGTGACCTTGAGCAAGTCACACTTTCTCAGCCTGAGAGAGGGGCAATGGCAAACCCCTTCTGGAGAATCTTGCCAAACCCCTTCTGGAGAATCTGGAGAATAAACCCCCATAACCTTAGGGGCGCCGTAAGTCAGAAATGACTTCAAGACACACAACAACACAATGTTTGCATGTATGTTAGGATCACAAATTACAAATGCATGTATGTTAGGATCACAAATGGTCCACAGATCACTTTCTCCATCTCTGCACCTAGGTTTTCAGCCAGAACACTTTAAAAACTACAAGAGTCCCTCACATATACAACTTAAGATAGGGTGAAGAACCCTTGGCTTTCTAGATGTTTTGGACTACAGATCCCACAATCCCTAACCATTGGTCCACCTTAAGAACTGTCCGATAAATTGTCTGAAGGCCTCTGTGTCCTTTCCTTTTCCTGCTTTGTCCTCACACCTCCTGTACATGAAATCTCTAGTCATTTTACTTTCTCTCTGTCTTTTTTCATGGAACAAAATCATCTTCTTCCATTTCCTCTCCTTTTTGACTGAGACTATAAGAGGTTCAGAGTTCATTCTGACCTGCTGTTAGCAAAGCAGAGGAATACAAAAGTTATCCCCGGATGCCTTGAGACTGAAGGAAATGACTGAGAGCATTGTGAATTGGGATGAATCTCTGGCTCAATATTTTGCATGGAGTGAAAGGGATGGCGAAGGCCTTCCGATGGCAAGGAATCCTTCATAGCTCAGGCAAGACAGGAATCCAGCAGATCCGGTGTACTGAAAGCTATTTTCACTCTACTTGCAGTATGAATACATCACATATTTGTATGGGTTTGGATTTATTTATTTTTTTACCTTATTGCATCTTGTATTTTAAAAATCAACTGCTTCAAATGAAATCCCATTTAATTTTGCATCCAAGTGGCTAACACAAATTTTAAAGATTGCTAATGCCGGTCCATTTTCCATTATCTTTGCACCCAGCTATTGAAAGGTGGAAATGAGTTGGCTTTGGAATGAGCAATTGGGTAGAGTCCTGCATGTGTTTTTCCATGTAGCTTCACAGGTAAAAGGAAGGAAACGGCCGCTTTCAATTTTGCTTAAAGTGACAGATTCGTACCCAGAAAGGACTTGGTATGAGAGCCAGTGTGGTGTAGTGGCCTACAACCTCTTGTTAGCCCCAAATAGAGAACAGTTGTGGCTTTAACTTCGGCGGATTTGACTATTTGCAGTTTTGATCACCATATGTACTCAGCTTCAAGTCGGCCTCATGTATAAGTCGAGAGCAAGTTTTGGGGCCAAAACTATGGATTTTGATCTGGCCCATGGATAAGTTGAGTTTAAAACTTGGGGGCTTGTAACAAAGGATGTAAAGGATGAGGTTCACTGCCTTTGTACAGAAATGTCTTCTTCTAAGTCTGAATCCGCTCCGCACTCCTTTAAGGGAAAGCTCCAAAGAGCTGACACTGCTGCCATGTTTCCCATCCCAACATTCAAAAAGGCCAGAAGTGGCACCATGGCAGAAAAAGTCAAGGAGGTTGGTGCTTTTAGGGGCTCCAGGGATGGACTAAGCTCTTCCCTTTCGCCACTCGACTCGGAGTGCTGCTTAGACAGCCTGGCGCTCATATCATTCTCAAAAAGCCCAAGTAGAAGCAATACCGCAGGTGGGTATAACTGCCTCCTGCCTCTTGTCTCCCTCCATCCCTTCCCCTTCCCCTTTCACTCTCTCTTTCTCTCCTCCTTTGCTTTTTTTCCAGAGCCTTTCTCATGGTTATAGAATACATAGCCCTCTCCCTTCCAGTCATTTTCTGTTCCCTTTCTCCCTCATCCCATCCCTCCTTTTTTCTTTCTTTTCCATGCTACAAATTTCAGCGGAGGAACAGAAGAAAGAGAAGGCACTTAACCCTTTTCCCTCCCGACCTTTAATGCTTGCTATCACTCATCCTACTACAACCTTGTTTCTTAATCTATCTGTTGATCCAGATATGAGTCCAAACATATGACCTACATCTCGCTCGGCCCTTGAAATCAGTGTGGACAGTGAACTCTTCCCAAACGTCTTTGCAACATGTAATTGGTATTAATGGGCTTCCAAGAGATGGAAGACCTACAGATGGTTATGCATGCACTGGTAACCTCAAGGCTGGACTTGTACAAAGGGCTGGAGGTTGGGCTACCTCCAAACCAAGCTCAGAAACTTCAGTTAATTCAAAACATGACAGCTCCAATGGTTACTGGGACATCCAGGAGCAATCATAGCACACCAAGATTAAAATTATTCCACTGGCTGCCAATGAGTTGGCAAGTGATTTGAAGGCAGACCCAAAGACCAGTTTCTTCTGGCAGGCCTATTCAGATGGTTTTTCAATGATGAATTTTAAAGTATCTATTCATTGTTTTAACATATATTCAGTTTATTTGCTCTTTCAACTGGTGTTATATGTCTAATTTGTTGTTGTTCCCTTTCTCAAGCCATAGGGAGAGGCAGGTAAGAAATATTATTATTATTATTTATTATTATTATTATTATTATCATCATTATCATTATCATCACCATCATATTACTATTATTATCATTATTATTATCATTATCATTATCATTATCATCACCAAAATCATGTTGTTGTTGTTGTTGTTGTTGTTATTATTATTATTTCTGTCTTTTGCAAGCATGAAGACAAAAGTATATCTCCTGGAGAGAATGATGTTTGCATGCCACAAATTTAAATTTCTGGCTTCTGAGAAGAGGGGAGGAATCCCTTGGGAATGACTGATTTGTAGTTCTACAACTAACTCCGCTGTTTTGATTTTCCAGGAAACTCCCCTACCTCCATCCAGTATTCTGTATAGTGATGTGGCTTAGGCCTCTTTCACATTACACGGTTATGGCATCTTGATCCCACATTAACTGCCCAGGTTGAATCCTATGGAATCCTGGGATTTGTAGTTTGGTGAGGCCCTCAAGCTTGCTTTTGGCTGAAAAGCCTATAAGACCTGGCAAAACTACAAATCCCAGGATTCTGTTGGAAGCCACTCCAGGCAGCTAAAAGTGGTACCCAAGTGCTATAATTGCAAAGTGTGAAAGAGACCTGATGAGATAATGACCCTGCTTATCAGCTCTTTGAAAAATATAAACAGAGAAAAAGGGACTCAGCAAAACAGACGGGAAGGCGAGAGATAGGAGACGTTAATGGCATCATGAAGCAGCTGTCGCCTAAGTGAAATAATGTTGATGGAACAGAGATGGATGGGAAGGAAGGGAAAGAGGAAAAGAAGGATAAAGGGGGGAGGGAGGGAGG